TCATGTCCTGCAATTATACTTTCACATATTTTCATATTTTCCTGTGCTACCACTGTGCTGTGATTTTTTAAAAAACATTTAGAGCAATTTCACAATTCCATCTTTGGAAAACAAAACACAAATATTACAATAAAATGTGAAATAAGCACAAAACAGACAGCTTTGAAATAGTGGGCGGGTGATGGAGAGGGGGAACAGAAAAGAATATTGCTGACATGCTGGTACCAAATCAGAAGGGATCTATTGAACCAAGATAAATAATGGGAATATTGTGGGATTGGGAGCTGTTGACTGTTTTTTTTCCATCAATAGTGAGGGCTGGGATAATCATAGGGAAGAGGGAAACGAACAATGTCATGTGATAGGGAAGCAATTCCAGTTTACCTGCCTCTTGCAATAAAGTCCTTGGTCTCCATATTCAACACCACAAGACTCTTCTCTGGTTCCACATTCTGAGTAAAAATTCACAGCATGACAAACTGCTCAAGGCTGGTTACTTGTCATTACTATTCTCCTGAACGAGGAACCTCCCACAAGCTTCCACACAATGTTGTTTTCTCATAAATGTCAATTGTTTAGAAATTTAGGGAATAACAGAGGCCTACATCTATTTGGTAGTCACAACCAGAGCAGACTGAGCTTTTCTTCACACATGCTCCTTCTTCAGATGTCTTTCCCAGAGTTACCAGCTGATTTATTTAATACAGTCAATGCTTTAGCATTCCTGAAAATACGGTTTCCAATAGAAAGCACCCATGCTGTGACTGGTGAAGTGGGAGGTAATTTGCTTTTAATGTTAGCATATACCACTTAGTACTATATTTAACCGAATGATGAAAATCTCCAATTTTTCATCTGCTTGTTTTAAGTGGTGCTCACTGCAATCCATCTATATGTAGTGGGAGTTTTTCTGTTGGATATATTTTAATAGACCGTGCTCTCCAGTCTACAACAAGCTTTTTAATTTTTAATTCATACACATGTCTTTATCCTATAATAGACTAGAACTACAGATATGGGAGTACGCTGTACATAATAAGAACACAGTGGGTACCTAGGGATACTATGCCACTAAAAGAGCTCCTTATTTACACTTTTCAGTAATGACTGCATATATCCAGTTATACAGGAGGAATGCCACCACAGGCAAGCAATTACTATGTGAGTATAACAAAGAGATATGGATGAAGTCACTAATAACTGCAGACACTAATGCAATCTGTACAGGTTGAGCCAAATTTTATTGCATATATCTCTTATCTATGAAACCAATGGGATTTAGCAAACAATAATACAGAACTAAATCTACATTCAAATCACAGGAGGCAGACTTAATATTTTTTAAGCTTCTGAGAAAGCAGAAGCTTTAAAGGTGGTTTATAATTCATAGAATCATATAGTAAGAAAGAGGCCACAAGTACCATCTTATCAACCCCCCACCTCCATGCAGAACACACAATCAAATCACTCCCTACAGATAGCCATCCAGCTTCCACTTTAAAACCTCCAGAGAAGGAGACTTCACAACACCAAAGCAACATCTTCCACTGACAAATAACTCTTACTGTTTGGATGTTCTTCCTAATATTTAGGTAGAATCTCTTTTCTTATAGTTTGAATGCATTGCTCCATGTTCTAGGCTCTGGAGCAATAAAATAATAATAATAATAATAATAATAATAATAATAATAATAATATACTTTATTTATATTCTACTCAGAGTGGATTACAGGTACATATATGGCAAACATTCAATGCCATTATACAATTGACAGAGACAGACAGTACATAAACAGAGGCAAGCCTTTCCTCTTTTCCTCTGGCATCCAGTTGTGCTTGACCTGGCCATAGGGAAGTGCTGTTGTTTCCTTTTCTACACCGAGGAGTCTGTCGTCCATGGACTCCTTTCCTGGTCAGATTTTTGCTGCAATGTTTTTTCAGGATGCCTTTTACATCCCCACCAAAGCAGTACATATTTATCTACTTACATTGTTGTTTTCAAACTGCTAGGTGAACAGAAGCTAGGCTGACGGCAGGAGCTCATCCCGACCTGGACTTGAACAGCCAACATTCTGGTTGGCAGGATTTTCTATAGCAGGCGGTTTAAACTGCTATGCTAGCCCATCCCTATTGAAGATGGATCTTGCCCCATCTTCAATATGACATTCTTTGAGCAGGAATGAGCAGGGGAAAGCAAGGATTAGATTTTGAAAATGGAACCTTGCTATAGTGATTTGCCACAGATTTAGATGGTTCCTAAAGTCTGTGGTGATTGCATTCTGATATTTTGTGAGGCTTTCTCCCCAAACCCATCAAAGCTGACACTGGCTCCTAGCTAAAAAAAATTGTGCAATCAGATTTGAAATGGTACAACAGAACATCCCTTTCATCTCTATGACATGCCCAAGATATGACTAGCAATCTTATCACACAGCCACCTGAGCTGCTCCTCTTCATCGAGGGGTGTGGAGGGAGGCATGGGTAACCTGGCACCCCACATCCTGCATCACCTGACTCCAGCTGAGGGTGATCAGATGGGGGGAAGTGTGGAGTGTGCCAGCAGACTCCGTGGGTGACCTGGACTAAACTGGCACATGCCACAGATTTTAGTCCTGTGTGGGAAAATGTATGGCTGATTAGGTTCACCTTTTAATCATGGAGCACCTTTTACAAGTTGGTTGTTAAATTCCATACTTTGGGGAAAGATTTGTAATTTTGCTAACACTCATTTCCGTTTCCTTCCTCTTAATTAGCTAAAGTGACAAATCTGAGAGATGTGGATGGAGAGTGTGAAATCTTTTTAATTAGCATTTCAGGAGGCTATGAGACTGTACCACTGTGTTTGTGACTTTCCTTAACTGTTTAATTTTTTTTTTCAGAACAAATTAGATGGGTCCCCATCTTTCTTTCAGGGGCCATTCTTCCAATGCTATCATTCACTGTTGTCCTCCTTCACCGTTGTCCTGTTCAATAGTCCTCATACCTAGCCTTCTGAAATGTTACAGACTTCTTGCCCTGGAAAACGGCTATAATTTTTATCTTCATATAACTTTTCCCCAAAAGCCATGGGGAGAGATACGGAAAAGAAAAATGACCCTTCAGATTTAGGACATAACCGCTTTTACTTGGCATTTGAGCATGTCCTTTTTGAAGCATACCAAAAAGAAAGGCTGCTTTTGCAGAAAAATTCTTACACCAGTTTCTTGGAAAGATGACATCCTTCCTTCTCTTGAAAGGGGCAGCTTGGCCTGATATTTCTGTTTTCAGTTCCCTCAAGATGCTTTTTTTTTGTTGTTGTTGTTATAGATTGTTTCATTGAGAGGAAAACACATGAAAAATGTTTAGCACAAAAAATGCCCTGTTCTGTACAGCAGCTTTTGGGAACACTTGCCTGATGCTTTAGGATTTTCAATGACAGTTCAATATAAAACAGAAACATTTGGATTTCAAAATCTCAACAACCTTAGAGCCCGTAACAAATTTTGTAGGTAGTGCCTTATTATGTCAGCTAAGCTATAAAAAAGAGATTTTAGTCATTTGGGAGTTTGGCTGTCATTTAAACAATCTAGATATCATTCTTTCTCCATGAATTGAGAATCCCCATATCTGTCCGGAATCATAGAGACTAAACTAGGACCAAGAAATTCAGTGGAATCTGCCTTTTGCTACTCGTCTCAGAGGCTGAAGCCTTGTGTCATTCTATCACATTGGAGCTCAATGTACCCAACAAATAAGCTAATCGGTTTCTCTCAGTTGAGGGTGGCCAACATATTTTTCCCTGAGCATGGTAGTCCTGCTCCTTCCTAATGTCATCTCCCTCTATATGTTTTTAAAGGCTTTCTAAAAATGCTTTTAATTTAATCTTTTTAAACTCTAAAATTGAAAAATCTGTTAAATATGAAATGGCTATAATGTGAATTTGTTGGTCTGTGTTCAATTGTCTGGTTGTCTTTATTGCTTGTGTAAATGTAAACTGGGTTTTATCTTTTGGTTTATATTATTTTGTATTTTTATATGGCTTTATATGTTGTAGACTGCCCTGAGTCCCCACTGGGGAGATAGGACGGGATAGAAATAAAGTCTCATTCATTCATTCCTTCATGTAGAGGGCACCTAAACTGATTACATCCTTCAATATCCATGGGGGCTTTCTTTCCCAGTCGAAAACCTGGAAAATCAGATTTCTACATTAATAGTAAGTCCAGTTTGAAGAGTCTATCTCTGCATGTTGGAGGTGGGAAAGAAGACTTAATAGTTGGGCTTTCAACTTTTCCTTTCTCCATGTGTCCATTCAACATGCTTATAGGTAAAGGTAAAGGTTTTCCCCTGACATGAAGTCCAGTTGTGTCTGACTCTGGGGTGTGGTGCTCGTCTCAATTTCTAAGCCGAAGAGCCGGCGTTGTCTGTAGACACCTCCAAGGTCATGTGGCCAGCATAGATGAAAAGAAAATAGGATATTCTGGGACTTGCCACTGTAGAATAGTGGTAACAGTAATAACACTAGAAGCAAGATATTCATTTGTACAATTCAGGCTATGGTGTGTTTAGGGGTTACACAGTCTCCACTTTGTGGAAAATCCAGGATAAAGACATCTTGTACAACTACAAACCAATACAACTAATTCTGAGAGTGAAATCTGACAATTATTCATTTGCTTGTTTGCTTGAAAGATTTCTAGGTTAGCTTCTTAAGGCAATTTACATGCCTATGTAATACAATCAACCTTAAAATTAGTTAAACAATTCAGTAGTCAGCACTACACATAATTTTTTATTTAAATGTGACATAAACCAGCTAACAGTGTAACACCAACAGTATAAAACAGGTAGTTAGTTAAAATAGAATGCCATAAAACATTAGGCCTTAGGTCAGTGCTTCTCAACCTGTGGATCCCCGGGTGTTTTGGCCTACAACTCCCAGAAATCCCAGCCAGTTTACCAGTTGTTGAATTTCTGGAGTTGAAGTCCAAAACATCTGAGGACCCATAGGTTGAGAAGCACTGCATTAGGCAAAAAAGTGAATTTAAATTGTGTTCACCTTCTATAATGACTTACTACCAAGTATGAATAGAATATCTTCTGATTTTTTCATCAATCTGTTTGCAATCCTTAGATAAAGCCCAATGTTTGATCAGCTTTGGTTTTAACATCTAGCATTTAAGCAAATCCCCTTGTAAGCTGTAAGAAGTAAAAACACTCAATACACAAACAGAGTTAATGCCTTTTGAACTGTACTGCAGATCATTGCAAAGGGAGGTATGAAATTATAGTTTTTGGTCCATTAGCTCTTTTGGGCACCAGTAAGGTCACCTAAAAACAAAAAGAAATGCATAAAAGTGTTTAAACCATATTCATCATCATTCTCCTTTTTATCTTTTGGAATAAAGTCATATAGCTTTTTGCCTGGTAAAATGTAGCCTGCATGTTTCAATTGCTTTGATCTCCTATAGGAGGAATGCATATATGGCCATTATACATGGCTCTCACTGATGAGAAATAGAGCCTGTGGTCAGGATGTGGTGCACCAAAGTGGAATTTTGAGTGAGCCATTTAAAATATGCTACAGCTATGTTACCCAACTTAATATTCACCATTTTAGATGAAGCCATACTATGAGGAGAGACTAGACATTTTCCATAAAGAACATTCCAGGTAACATCTCTATGAAGAACTTAAAATGACAGAATCATAGAATCATGGGGTTGGAAGGGACTCCAAGAATCATCCAGCCCAACCCCCTTCCATGCAAGAAAACAGAATCAAAACATCTCCAACAGATGGCCATTCAGCTTCTACTTAAAAACCTGCAGGGAAGGAGACTCCACCATGCTCAGAGGCAGCGTATTCTACTGCCAAACCACTAATCTCTCTTCAGGAAGTTCTCAATAATGTTTAGGTGGAATATTTGGAAAGCCCTTTGTGTTAAACCATGGGGAATTGCTTCCATGTCAATTATATGGTAAATTCATCCTGCATTTTAGACTAAGAATTGATGGAGTTATCCAAGGTGCTAAGCCCTATCACCAAATAGATTCAGTACCTTGGACAGTTTGACCAAGGTTGGAACCAAAACTCAAAACAGATACCTTTTTGAATTTAGATGGAACTCACTTGCCACCATTGAATACAGACTTAAAGTGTAAACTCGAACTTTGAAAGAAATAGCCTGTGTTTAATTTTGTTTGCCCTTTTCCTGCATGTGGCTTTCTGAAATACATGAACTTTGGGTGACATAGGAGAAACCTTTCTTGCCAAACACAAAGAGATTTTGTTGAGCTCTGCTGCTGAAACAGTTTTGCATTGCCTCAGAGTTACAAGATAGCTGTAGTCACTGAAAATAATACCTTTCCACCTTGCTGTATTCTTCTTCCTTTCCCTTAGCTTGATCTCTGAAGAAGTGCTCAGTGTATTATCCATTTCACTTATGTGCTCCTGAATGGCTGTGTTCACTTCATTATATACCAAATTTATTCCACTAATGTCACCGAAAGTCTGAAAAATACAATATTCAGATGCTTTAGCTGTGGCCCAGTCTAGTGCAATATCATGTGAAAAGAAGCAAAAATAAACAGACTCTGGGCATTTATTTATTTGTATGCTTTAAAGTACAGCTTAGCAGCTCTTTTGTGTGTGAAATTTGGTGCTGTCATGCCAATAACCCAGATTCATAGCAATATACAATTTGGGTTTCATGGTTGGATTCCACTCCTGTGCTTTGTAACAATTTTTTTAACAGCCCTGCCAAAACTCTACAGAGGCAAAGCTATTTGAAAGAGATTCACTAATAACATCTACCATGGCAAACAAAGGCTTAAATACATATGAAAGATGAATTCACCTAGTTTTTTATATACAGCTCCAAAACAAATATATTACAGTAGAACTGTGTTTCTTGTGCTCAGGCATTTTTTTCCATTGTAGGACTTTTTTATCATGTGGAAAATAATAGGAGATATACACCAAGTAAAATATTTCAAGGGGAAAAGATATCACTTTGGGGAGACACTGACTATAAAAATATTGTAGGCGAGCTATTCACATCCAGAATATGATTCTCATCATCCATTGTCATGTTGCATCTAGATGATGGGCTACAAGCCCTTTTGGATAGAGACTGATGTGGTAAGTCAAGAGAAATATAATTGGAATCCTTCTTAACTAGATGAAGACAAACATAGAGGTAGATGACTCTGTCACAGAACTAGATGATCTACTTGTATAGAGACTGACCAATTAAGGCAAATCTTCTATCCTGGAAAAATCGAACAAGCAAGACTGGAGTTAAAGCTTGGCCAAGACATGCTGATTTTCACAAAATAAATCACAAAGTAGTCTCAGCAAATATACAGATCCAGTATTTCACAGCTCTTAGGACTAAGCAACAAGAAATGCATTGGCTGGCATATTTTTGGTGAATTCCAGCTAGAGCAGACCCATTCAATGCACTAGACATATTCAATAGAACATTCAACACTGTTATAAATACATTAGCAACAGCCACAGCTGAAACCTCTGACCTGAATTTCATTGATTGGTTTCAAATAGAAAGGTCCTATTGATTCAATTACTTAATAGTGAGTCAAAATGTAGGATGATTCAATGGACTCCTCTAGTCAAGGTTAACAATAGGATTTGGGATAATAGTTGTTTTACTCCTACATAAAAACATGAAGGGCCCTGATCTGGGCATATTACAGATAAATGTGGGTTTTTCTTTCTTCCAGAGATCCTTTGCTGGCACTTTTTATTTCAAAATCTCAACCTCCTAGTACAAAGACGGGGGGGGGGGGGATCCCTGGTTGCCAGTGGAGTTTCTTCTCTTTTGTTATCCTCTATACTTTGCATAATGGTCCCCATCTGCATCAGAGTGGCATGGTCTTACTTGAAAGTAAAACACAGAATGACCTTAAATTTATACTGCATGGTTAGCATACATAATTCACCCCTCAATTAAACTTCTCCCAGTATAAATCTGCTACCGCAGGAACCTGAGACTGTCCTTGGGAGTTGGAAACTACATGTGTGGTTGACTTAAATGGACTGAAAATAATAGGGAGGAAAATCTTGGCTTATTTTGTTCCCAGAGGCCTGAATGAAATATTTCAGCTATTTTCGCCCTGTTTCATGTGACATGAAGTTTTTGCATTTCCTATACAGTTTTTGATCTCTATTAGTAGTTCAGAAATTTGTTGGGGAAAATTCATTTTTGTAAAACTATGTGTAGTTTCGCCATCTAAATAATGTACTTTGGGGCAAAATCATACAAACAAAACAATTCTGCAAAAATATACAACTTCTTATTTAAAAATACTGCGGGAGTTGGTTAAAAGGAGAATTGCACATAATTGTTCTCACAGGAATATGTGCAAAAAAAAACCTGCTAAACCCTCCCCCTCACACACACACACCTTAAAAATCAAATTGTCCCCTCCAGAGTGTGCACCCCATGTTGGGAACTAGGGCCCTATACCCAAATTTGAGAGACGATTCAAGAAAAGCACAGAACAAATTTGACACATGACACTGAACAGCCCATATGAAGGGTCTGATCCACATTAAAACAGTCATAAAAAGAAAATCTCAGCATCCCAGAAGAACTACTGGAACAATCACAGTTCAAGACAATGACCATGTTTCAGTACTTCATCCCCTCCCAGATCAAGCAGTGAGGATAGTGAAATCCACTGGCTATCATACAATCATGGTCTCATTAATATAAAAGAAATAAAATGGACCACCAAGTCCATTGTCTGAAATTGTTATGTCACTGCTCTGCTGCTACATTACCATTCTGTCAATCCATCGCCAATCCCTCAAAGTTATCAGCAGCAAAAAGGAAGCTACAATGGATGGGAGAACTTAAGATTCCCTTGAATACCACCCCTCTTTCCTGATACTCAGGTGTGTAAGCCTGAATTCATGCTTGGCTGTTTTCCACTGGAGGCCAATGACATAACTCCTTCCCCCCCCCCCCAAAGTACTAGGGGTGTGCAATTTGACAAAAACCCATGCTGTTTTGAGTGTCTGGTTTTCAGCCCCCGGTGGCGCAGTGGGTTAAACCCTTGTGCTGGCAGGACTGAAGACCAACAGGTCGCAGGTTCGAATCTGGGGAGAGTGCAGATGAGCTCCCTCTATCAGCTCCAGCTCCTCATGCGAGGACATGAGAGAAGCCTCCTACAAGGATGAAAAACATCAAAACATCCGGGCGTCCACTGGGCAACGTCCTTGCAGACGGCCAATTATCTCACACCAGAAGCAACTTGGTTTCTCAAGTTGCTCCTGATAAGACAAAAAAAAAAAAGCTTCCCCTCGTTCCATTTTGAGAGTGCTTCTTGAATTCAGAAGAGGTTTCTGTTTTCATTCCAAAAATATTTCGTGCATTGCCTCCAATGGGGAAGGTTTAGAGGATAATTTCTCTGTCATTGTTAGGCCTATTAGTAAAAAAACTCACCTCACTTCTAGGCCATACTTACTTCTGCAAGTCTGCCAGTTTTCAGAACATTTCACCAATCTACTAATATTTTGGAAATTATAAAAGTTTTACCATAACATTTTAAAAAACACAAGAGAGGGTACTGGGAATTGAAGTCCTAAGTGCATGCCACAAGAAGGGAGGAGAATAGACACAATCAGCCAGATCTCTGATTGGCTGAAAAGGAAAATGAGAAACACACAGAGAGAAAAACCTCAACTTCCATCATACCTTGGTAGGGAGAACAAAGCTTCTTCAATGTTTGCATAGCACAAAGTGCTGCTAGGAAAGTGGGTTCCCATTTGCCTCAAGCAGGTGGGGGGGGGGGCTTCAGGAAGGGATGGAGGAGCGTGTTGGGGAAGAAAACAAAGGAAGAGCAAGAGCTTTCCTCATAAGCAAGGCTGCTCCGCCCATAGACTGGCACAGGTAGAGTCAGTGCTGCTCGCTCAATTCCATTGGTTTCTATTAGCCCCCATTAGTAAAAAAGATCCAGCTGCTGAGATCTGTTTTGACTAAGGCTTCGGCTGCCCCCCACCTGGCTTGTTTTCATGGATTCAGCAGCAGAATCCTCCAAACCATCCAGAGCCCATTTTCAAAAATGGAAATGTGCACAGTTCTACTAAGCACTGCATGGCACATGAGAACAATACCACACTATTTGTAACATATAAATATAAGTATATGAGTTCCAGAGTGACTTAAATTTATATTGGGTCTGGTCTGCATAATCCCTTTAATTGATATTCCTATAATAATAAAGTTTATTAATTTTGATCATAAGCACATCATATTTTATACACTGCAACAAATTTGCACATAACAAACTACAATAAACTAAGTATAAATATATTTCAAATGTGTTGATATTGGACACAGTCTGAGCATTAAACTAATTGATGCCCAAGTCATTGCTTCTGAAAGTGACTCAATACCAGTAACCTTTTAATTAATCAACATGGTCCAAAAGTTCACTTCACACTGTAATTATAAAACAGAGCAAAAATTATAATTGATGCATTTTATCAATCTGTGTAGCTGCAAGGTACTTTCGGAAAAGGTTATATTTTTGTTTAGGTAAACTGAAATGATATTGCTTTGGTGCTTATCTTTGACTTTATTTTTTAAATTGAATCAGCAATAAGTCTGATAAATAAATATTGCAAACATTCATCTTTTAAAAGGATAGTTTAAAGAAATATGATGTAGTAAACGTAGAATGAGCAGATCCTAAACACCCTAAAGAAACAAGATCCTGTCTGAGCTTGGTCAACCTGCTTAGTATGTCAATTAGATCCTGCTAATGAATCCAAGGTGTTGTCAGCTATATTTTAGAGGAAGGCTCTAGCAAAACTACCTCTGAGTATTTCTTGCCTAAGAAAACACTGTGAAATGCACAGAGTTGCCATAAGTTGATAGGTGACTTGATGGTACATTCACATAAAATAAATTATCTAAACATTCTAAACAAACTTATCTCTTTGGTAAAAAGACTCAAATATGCAGGATTTAAAATACTGCTAATGTTACAGTGTATAAATATGTAAGGGGAAGTCATAGGAAGGAGGGAGAAAGCAGAACAATGACTTCAAACTACAGGAAAGGAGATTCCACCTGAACATTAGGAAGAACTTCCTGACTGTGAGAGCTGTTCAGCAGTGGAACTCTATGCCCTGAAGTGTGGTGGAGGCTCCTTCTTTCGAGGCTTTTAAACAGAAGCTGGATGGCCATCTGTCAGGGGTGCTTTGAATGTGATTTTCCCACTTCTTCACAGAAGGCTGGACTGGATGGCCCACAAGGTCTCTTCCAACTCAATGATTCTATGATTCTACTCTTCATTGTCATAAAATAACCTCTGTTCATTTTATGCCATGGATATGGCCTTAAAGGTTCTACCTTGCCCAAGCATTATTGTCCAAATAGTATGAAATTGCCTCTGAAGTGTGACCATTTTGTATATCTGAAGCACACATAGCAAATAAAATGTTTCAGATTAAAGTTCTCCAACCAGGTGTGCCTCTGT